AGGTCATGGGTTGGAATGAAGTGACGAGGAAATGGAGACATATGCAGATAAATTTTAGAGGATTTTGGGTTTAGTCAATGGGATAGTAGCTGGAGAAGGATGGGGTTGATGTCAAGAGAGAATTAAAAAGAGAAAGAGATGAACATATCATAGGATATTTGCAGAAAGGGAAATCGTGAGTTGGGGGAGAGGGTACCAACTGTGCTGCACAGTCTGGAGCCGGTGAGAGGCGATGGAGCCTGGCGACCTGGTGGAGGGGTTGTAACAGGAGCAGGGATGCTTTGTCCCTGTCACAGAAGGCATAGCAAACAGGCACGCTTGCCGGCGAGGTGGCATGGTGGCTGTGGAGGTGAGGCGCTGTGCTAGCGCTCAGCTATTGCTCCTGGGCCCCAGAGACACAGGACCCCGTGTGTCGGCTGGAATGGCGGATTGGGAGAAGGCAGTTTGAGGAAAGAGGAGAAGGTAGAATATATAGTCATCCGGGAGAATCAGATTCAAGTTTTAGAAAAATGTAGGATTTCTTTGAGAGGCCGAGTGTCCATTTGAGCTTTGTGGTCAGAAGTCTAAGTTGAGAGCAGTCAGTCTGGTTGTATGGTGATGCCACATGGAAATGTCACGTGGAGAGGGTCTTGCCAGGTCTTTGTGAGCGCAGGAGGAGCACACAAAGGCAAAGGAGTGGAGGAGAGCTAGGGATTCATGGCTGTCTGGGGGCCTGTGGTGTCTGAGCTGGACAGGAGGGGAGGGAGGCTGTGGAGGGGGTGACCGGCAGGTCAGTGGGTGGGCAGGAGGACTGCTGGAGTGGGATCGAGGCTGGGTGGGCTAGCCAGACAGGAGATGAGGCCGCTCCTGGTACAGACAAGGTCTAGGGTGTGAGCGCACACACGTGGGAGGGTGGGACGGGCGGAGTGGGAGTGAGGAAGTATGATCTCTCCTGGAACTGAGAGGACTTCCTGATGGACATGAGATCCCTAGGGATGATAACAATGTAGTCATGGAAAGGCAACAAGCCAGGGCTCTGATGGCCCAGGAATGGAAGAGAATAACCATGCCTCCCTTTGAAGCTGAAATCATGGCGTCTTCCTCAAACCTGCTCCTCCTCTGAGGCTCCCGACTCTAGTCAATGGCACCACCGCCCCGAGGCAGAAACCTGGATGTAACTTTGATTCCTCCCTCGACTTGATCCCCACACCCAACGGAATCACCGGATCTTTATGATTCTATCTCCATAAACATTTCTTAAATCCAGCTACTTCTTTCCATCCCCATCGCACACGCCCTGCCTGGTTCAGGCCTGGTTTTTTCTCTCTCAAGACAATTGCATCAGGTTCCAAACAGGTAGCCCTGCCTCTGTGCCTCCACGTTGTAACCAGAGACACTGCAAATTGGATCATGTCCTCTCCCTGCTAAATCTCTCCGGGGCCTGTCATTGTCTTTAGGTTAAAGTCCAAAAAAATATCATGAACAGAGATTTATAAACAAAACTTGCATGATCCTGCACTACCCCGGATTCCAGCCCCTCACCGGACTGACCGCCATCTGGGTTTCCTTCAATCTTTGTCATCAGATTTGCTCTCCTTTGCATACCCTGTCCCCTCGTCTGGAATCCCACCTCCTTCGCTGGGTGAAACCCTCCCGTTTCTCTCGCTGTCGGGGTAAGAGGTCCCAGGGAGCCCTTTCCTGGATGCCTGGCTACTAGAGCCTCCTTTCTCTCTCCGCCAGTGCCCCGTGCTTCCGCCAGTGAGCCATGAGATGGGCAGCTGTCCTCTTCTCTAGAATGTAAGCTTCATGAGGCCAGGAGTCCTGTCGGATTCTTCCCATCACTCAACACAGAACTGTGAGGTGAAAGTTAGCAATCAGGATTTGTTGGCCCGAATCCAATGGAAGATGGTAGGGTGGAGTGGGTTGTGGTCCTGGGAGTGGGCTGCTGAATGTTCTGGAAGGAGAGGAGGCCACAGAATGAAAAGGACAGAGTAATGCACAGGGGGTTACCACAGTCCCAGATCACAGGAAGACACCAGAAGACCCTTGCCCGTGGGTCAGGAGTAAATAGTAGCTAAGGGCACAGGAAAGTGGGTGGCGGAGGAAAATGGCAGTAGCAGGAACAAGTGGGGATTCTTCATGAAGATGGGGGCGGATCAGGGTCTGAGGGGCGGAGAGCGCCGTGTGCAGGGCTTGAGATCCTGAGTGAGGTTGAGAATGAGACAGTCCGATGGCCGAAGTGTGGCCTACAAGTTGAGTTTCAGCTCCCTTTGGAAGCTTCTGGCCAGTCTCAGGTGGTGTTCTGCCTCCACCTGGCTTGTGGCTTAGGACTTGAGACCTCTGGGGAGTAGCATCCATGGAGGAGATGAGCTCACCATAGGCAGGACCCCCCAGCAGCCCCTGGAATGGACTCCTAAACTCTCATGTGAATTGGTTGCGTCTGGGCCTCTGGCCTGGACTTGGGAGCTATTTTTGTCTGAGCAGTGTGTGGCCATCTGGTTTGGTCAAGAGTGCTGCCCTGCTCTCCTGGGTTGGATGGTCACAGCTCTGGTTTGAATTGGGGGTGAAAGCTGCCTTTGTCTCATGGGCTCAGGAATTAACAGGTGGTGCCCTTGTCACAGTGTCCACTTTACGCTTGGAATATAACCTTGCGGCTCTGATACTGCAGCAGATTTCTAAAATGGACGAGTTTCTGTCTCTTCCTCTCTCTCTGCTCCTCCCTAATCTCATCTCAGGGGAACCGAGATTACCTTTCTTCCCCATGTAAACAGCGTTATCTGTCCTGAGTACACACCCACCATGGGAATGAAGTAATCCCGACTTTGGGGATGGTACCAGTGATCTCAGAAATGACTATCTCCCAAATGAACGAGCGAATTACAACTCCAGACGGAGAACATGCGGAATGTAGCCTTTGAGTCACTGTTTAAAAGCCCCCTGTTTCTGCTGATGGGCAGAATCACAGCCTTTGGGACAGGGGTCCCCTGTGTTTCTCCTTTGCTAGCCAAGCAACAAACCGTGTCCTGGGTATTGGATTGGCATCGGGGACAGGAGCTTTCAGCAACAATAGATGGAAATGGTGCCCTGCCCATGTCCCCTTTACTGGAGGACACCCATTTCCCAGCTGCTGTGAATATTAACTGCTCGTGGGTTATAGCAGACCCTGGAGAATTAGCCTCAACTGTGCCAAAGCTACCCCCCGCCCTTTTCAGCTGGCCATCCCGCTATCACAAGTCCAGTGTCCTGGCCTCCAGGGGGAGACAAGTTGGTGGTGAGATTTATGATCTAAATCCCCCTCACCGCACTGATCAGGCCGCAGGCTGGTGCCCTTCCTGCTCAGTTCAGCCTCAGCTCTGACTGGCTTCCCTACAGCTTCTTTCACATGCACCAGATCCCTGCCTCTGGCTCTGCCTCTGGGGACTTGACTGGAGAGGGGGTGACCTCTGATTTTGTCCCATATTCGGGGTGGGCATGGAGGCTACCCAGTGGGCCTGGAGGAACCCCTCTCTTCTCTAGGTCCAAGTTTCCCCATCTAGAAATGAAACTTTGAGGCTGGATTTAGGTAAAACAACAAATCAATCAAACGCGAAGCCACTTTGCTGACCTCCCGGGCTAGGTGTGGTGGAAGGTTCAGATAAACAGGACACACCGTCCTTCCCCCAAGCACCTCACAGCTCATTTACTCATTTAACAAACATTTATTGAAGGTCAGCAGGGACCTGGTGACTCAGCATCTTGCCCTCAAGGGTTCATAGGCTGATGGGAGACACTGGGGGGAACTGGCCACCCCGATTCGGGGAGAAGGGCAGAGGAGAGCAGCACCTGGGCGGGCGGGCGCATGGGGAGGTGGGGAGGCTGTCCTTGGGGTTTGAGGACAGGTCACAGAGGAGGCCGGAAGGACATCCCAGGGAAGGGGAGGAGCGTGGTAGAGGCCTGAGGCCTGCCACAGCATGACTGTGGGCCCGGGAACCACCTGCCTTTGGTATTATTGTGGGTTGGAAGAGAGGAAGCCGGCGAGGTGGAGGGCTGCAGGGCCAGGTTGAGGGCAACGGGGATGGGGTGGGAGGATTTTTAAAGTGAGAACAATGGCATGGTCAGATTCAAGAAGAGATCCATCACTCCATCCTGGAGAGGAGGGCAGACCTGAGAGGCGGGGGTGAGGCTGGGGGTGGAAGGGGGCAGATTTGGGGGTTGTTTGGAGCTGGGAGTGCTGTGTTGGGACGCAGGTGTGAAGGCTGGGGGAATCAGCAGGACAAGACAGCTTCCGGCTTGGACAATGGGGTGGGGGGTGGCAATGCCTTTCATGAGTGGAGTGGGGACTTTGAGAGGAGGCAGGTTTGGGGGAAGATGATGGGGTCCCTTTGGAGTTGCAGGGGGTATGAGGTGACTGTGGGTCCCCTAGAGGGCTGTTTAGTGGCAACTGGTGGGACTCAGGGGCAGGTTCAGGCTGAAAGCATGGTCCTGAGTCTTGGAGGCCTGAGGACTGGGGTGGGGGAGGATGAGGCTGCTCAGGCAGTACATGGGGGTGAGAAGAAGGGAACTGCCATCGATCCAAGGATCCGCCTGGGGACACATCTCCTAGACAGCCTGGGAAATTCCATTCTGCCCTTGTTCCAGGTTCACTCCCACCCTCAGGAACTCCCCTACCAGGGACCCGTACTGGGCAGAGCTGGGGAAGTCAGACATGGGAGGCAGAGGCCTCTGGAGTCCCATGCTTTGCATTCATCTGAGGGACATTCCGTGGGAAGGAGCTCCTGTGGGCACAGGGTCCCCATGCCTCCCTCTTCTCCTGCCTTGGTCAGCTGGTGGCAGCGTCATGAGGCCCCTGGTGTAGCCCCTGCCTTTGGGCATTCCCCTTCACATTCTGGTGGCACAATGTATGTGAGTGGGTGGGGTGGGGAGTGACAGGAGGATTTGAGGTTCTGGGGCTCAGATGACCATTGAGTTGCCTGGGGCCCCTCTCTGAGGTCCATGGGAACTCCCGTACTTCCTTACCCACCACTCTTCACTGGGGCTGCAAGTACTTGGAAAATCATGTTTATTAATAGGTTTGACATAACCTGTTGTCTTATACAAAATCCCCACTGGGGACCCCGGCACCAAAACCGTACCCCTCCACTGCATCCTGGCTCCTGGGTGAGCTTCCTGAGCCCCCACCGCCACCTACCTGCTCTACAGAAGATGTCACTGCCCTGGTCCATTTTCCTTAGGGGACAGCCAGGGGATCTGGGGATCCTGTCTGCTGATTTTGCAGGTTATGGATACCCACCTGCATCGATTGGGGTGAACCCTGCCTTTATTAGGACAGAGTTCCCATCTTGGGGGTGCCCTCCCTGGGAGACCACATATGGTGGGCACGTGTCGGGTAGACGACTTCGGCGCCGAGACTTCTGCCGCCGGGGGCCGAGGATCTCCATGCACCTCTTGCTCACCAGGTAGGTGACCTCACTGAGGTTGAGCAGGATGCAGATGGCCGCGGTGGCCACCATGAAGTAGGTGAAGACCTTCTTCTCCGTGGGCCGGGAGATGTAGCAGTCCACGGTGTGGGGGCAGGGATCCACCGAGCAGGCCACCACGCGCGGCATGTCATAATCCTGGTAGAGGCGGTGGAAGATGTACAGGAAGCCCGCGTCCACGGCGGCCTTGAAGATGAGGCTCAGCAGGTAGGTCCACCACAGCCCGCCGCGCTTCTTGCTCAGGTTGCTGTACAGCGGCGCCGCCCCGGGCCCGTGTCTCAGGCGGTGCCTCCGCTCCCGCTCCTCGCGGTAGGCCACGTGCATGACGACGAGCAGCGAGGGGCAGGTGACCAGGATGAGCTGCAGGGCCCAGAGGCGCACGTGGGACACGGGGAAGAACTCGTCGTAGCAGACGTTGGGGCAGCCGGGCTGCTTGGTGTTGCAGATGAAGTCCTTCTGCTCGTCGTCCCACACCTCCTCGGCCGCCACCACGTACACCAGCACGCGGAAGATGAAGACCACCGACAGCCAGATGCGGCCCAGCGCCGTCGAGTACTTGTTCACGCCGCTCAGGAGGCTTTGCAGGAAGGTCCAGTTCATGCTGATGGCTTCCTCCGCGCCTCACACCGGGGGGTCTACACCTGGGTGCCACCCACTCAGGCCTTGGGAGCCTGGGAAGACCTGGAAATGGGCACCCTGGAGTACGATGCGGGGGACAATACCGGTTCACAACCACGGGGTCATGGTGTCCTCACTCACAAGGACTTGGAGGGGGAGGCATGGCCATCACCCTGATGTCACTGGGAGGTGAGCCCAGAGGCACCTGCCCCGGTCCCACAGCTGGATGTAGCAGAGCTGGTCTTGAGCCTTTGTCTTCAGATTGGGGAATCAGGGATTATTTTATTCTACAAAGTAATAAATACACGTGAGAGTAATCATGCTGCCCCACAGGCCCGCCAGCCTCTCTTACCCCAGGACTTGGGAAGAGAATGAATGACCCCCTCCCCTGAATGACCCCTGGCCAGGCTGGACCAGGCAGGAGGTGTGGGGGTGCATCCTTTAGGGTTGTCAGATGAATCCAGCTTTGACTGAATGCCAACAGGTGCCAGGCCCCACACCGGGCATGTCCGCAATCTGCGCCTACGTAGATCCCAGGACAATCTCCATCCTCACTCCTCCTCCTTGGCTCCAGGAAGCTTCCCAGACATCCCCTCCTACACTAAACAGAGCCCTTTGAAATTGTGGTGGCTTGGCATCATCCCTGCCACCTCCCTGCCTTGGCGCCGGAACACTGACGGTCTCGACCACAAGTGGGTTCCTCTGGAATTCCAACTGTTTGAGCTCCAGGGAAGGCCAGGGGTGGGCACCGGCTGGACCCTGGCACGGTGTGCAGCCCACCATTGCTTTTCTTTCTCTGAGACTCCCCTTCTCTGACGGCTCGGCTGTCTTGGCTGGCTACCTCTCCTGCTCTCCTCGTCCTGGCCGTGTTCTGTATCTGTCAACCTCCACCACCTCTTATCTGGAGTCCTCATCCTATTCCATCCTACGGCCTGCCCTCTCCTGTCTCTATCTTAGCCTTGTTAGGCACCAAACCCCTGGGACACCTGCCGAGCACCCTTCCACGGCAGGCCACGTTCACCTGTCTTTCTTGTCAGACTGCATCTCATTCATCTGTCCCCACGACCCAGCTCTGGGTCTGGCCCAGCGAACACGCAATACATGTTGGTTACACTGCAGTGAAGCCCCACGCCTTCCCGACCCCTCTTCATCTCTTCTCCGGTCCTCTGGCCTCCCTTTGGTCTGGCAGGGTATTCCTTCCCCTCCTTGGAGTTCCCTTGGGGTTCTCCAGGGACCCTCACCCCTGTACTCTGGCCCCAGCCCCAGCTCCCGGGGGTTTCCTCAAGCCCTGCTGGCCTCATCTTCCTGGCCCTGTCTCCTGCCCTGTTAGGTCCTCACCCTTCTCGAGTCCAGTGGCTGCTCTCCTGTCCCTGGCTTGTCCGTCTGCCCGAGGGCCTCCCGGAGGCAGCTTTTGTTTCTCGCTTCTGAGTGGGGTGGGGCTTTCTGAGCCAATGAGCCAGGCGAGAGTGATCCGGGTGGGTGGGTAGGGCAGGCCGACGGGCGGACTTCCCCGGGCACATATTCAGAGCAAACACCGGGGCGCTCCTCTCCTGGCCTACGCCTTCTCCCTAACCTCGCAGAGGCAGGTGGGTGAGACTGCAGTGAGAGAACAGGGCCTGGTGCGATCATGCCAAGGAAGCCTGGTTCTGACGTCCTCAGCAGCTGACATCTACAGAAAGGGGCAATTTCGATTCAGCCCAGGACCGCGCGTGTCCTACCCTGGTGGGGATTTTTCTGGGGATCAGATCTTGAGCTGCCTTTGGCTTGCACAGGGGGGATGGGAGGGGCCGGCCGTGGCCTTTCTAGATGGGCACCTGCTGCCCCGCTTGAGGCAAGGAATGCAGGTTGGCAGCATGAAATGCCCCAGTTGTCAGGGGCCCAGACACAGCCTCACTCTCCCTTCCCTGTGGACCTGGGCCTCTGTGCTTCTGGGTAAGTGGGTAAGGCCTTCAGGGACGTGAGGTACCCACTGGGGCTGCAGAGGACCCTGGGCCTGCGTCTGGCTGGCACAGTGAAGGTTAATGAGCAGCCAGGGAGGGGCCCCTGTGCCTCATTTCCCACAAGCATTTATCGAGTGCTTCCTAATAGCAATGATTAACATTTATGTGGCCTTTTACAGCCAGCTAACCCCGTCCACAGCCATGAACTCATGAGTGCTCACAGAACTCGACGGGCTGGGCATTATTAACCCATTTTGGAGGAGGGTTGAAGCCACCTCCCCAGAGTCCTGTTGGTGCTTGTGCCTGACTACAGGTGTGCGCACCTACAATCCGGGGACTTCCCATTGCAGCACAGCCACCCCCATGCTGAGCTCCATGACCTCTGTAGACAACCCTCGGGGCTGAGGGCCAGCCTGGAGCCTGAGCACGTGGCTTGGTCTCCAGCAGAGCCGGAGCACCCCTTCTCTGGAGGAGAGGATGGCTCCTCATCTGACCCAGTCAAGTGCATCCCAGAGATTGAGACAGTGACCTGGTGAGGGTGACAAAGCCCAAATGACCAAGGGTACCTTAAATCAATGAATGCATTGACCTTTATTAAGCCTTGTTGGTGGGCCATGTGCATGGGGGGGGGTGGCTGGCCCGTCTGATCTCCTTTGACACCCCTCCTCACTATGGTCCTGGGAGGTGGCCCTCAGGATCTTTAGATGTGCCTAAGGCCACCTGCTGGAGCAGTGGGCAGAGTTGAGGGGTAGGGACCGGATCCCAGGCCTTCTGAATCCTCCCTTTGTCCCCATCGATAAGAGATGCTGGAACTTTCCGACCCAGGGCTCCCCGCCAACCTGTCCAGCCCGTCCCTCACAGGATGGTTTTCTTTGCGTAGTCTTGGGGGTGGTCTGGCAAGAGAAGGGGGTGAGGGTCTGAGCCCAGATAGATGAGGTCGTCCGAGAGGAGGTCCTTCGAGGTGACACAGTCCGGCTGATGTCCCTCGTGTGTGGCCCTTGCTCTGCGCGCTGCCAGGCACTCACGACACCTCTTGCTCACCAGGTAGGCCAGCTCCACAAGATTGAGCAGGATGCAGACGACGGCCGTGGCCACCATGAAGAAAGTGAAGATGTTCTTCTCCGAGGGCTTGGAGATGAAGCAGTCCACTGTGTTGGGACAGGGGGCCGCGTGGCACTTGACCACGGGAGGGAGGGTGTATTTGGGGTAGAAGGAGTGGAACAGGTAGAGGAAGGCGGCGTCCACGCCGGCCTTGAACACCAGGCTGCAGACGTAGGTCCACCACAGCCCGCCCCGCTTCTTGCCGGGGTTCAGGTAGAGGCGCCCGCCGCCCCCCCCAGCTGTCTCCTGGTGCTTCTTCTCCCGGGCCTCGCGGTAGGCCACGTGCATGACCACAAGCAGCGAGGGGCAGGTGACCAGGATGAGCTGCAGGGCCCAGAGGCGCACGTGGGACACGGGGAAGAACTGGTCGAAGCAGACATTGGAGCAGCCCGGCTGGCGGGTGTTGCAGTCGAAGTCCTTGTGGTCATCACTCCACACGCGCTCGGCCGTCACCAGGTAGACCAGCAGGCGGAAGATGAAGACCAGGGACAGCCAGATGCGCCCAAAGGCTGTGGAGTACTTGTTGACCCCGCTCAGGATTCCCTCGAAGATCCCCCAGTTCATGGTGGACCCACGTGTCAGAAGCCACTGCAGGGAAAGGAGAAGAGTCATCTCCCATGTTTGCGGATACTCACTGGGAGGCCGTCCAAGGAACGGGGCGTGGACATCGCCGTCTTCTACGCGTTCCACTCCTTCTACCCCGGAGAGAGCTGGGGTCTGATATCGTCCCCATTTTACAGATGAGGGAAACTGAGGTGGAGAGGGGTAGAGAAGACTACACCAGTCGGAGCAGAGCTAGACGTGGGCACAGGTGGTGAAGCCAGAACCCAGCTCTACCCATAAGGCAGCCAAAATGGGTCCAGGGGCCGCTCACTCCTCTCAGGGTCGTAAAGAGTGAAGACGTGCGGGGTTGGGACCTGCTGCCCTCTCTCTCTTCCAACCCTGGCCCCTCCTCGGGGGCCTCAGCCTGGGTGACCTCTTTCTTTGCTGAGCCCCAACCCGGCCCTCTCCCTGCAGAGAGCCCCCCTCCAAAGGGGAACCTGTCCCCATCTAGTCCAGCCTTCAGTACATGCAGGCAGTGCCCTCTGCTCAGGTGTGACTCTCTGGAAGCCAGCTGATCTGGAGATGCCCTGGGCCAACCAGAGTAGCCTGGCAGTCCAGCGTTCCCCAAACCAGTGTTCCGTGGAACCCTGTCCCACCCGCTGGCAATCTTGGCAATACGAGTAGCCAGAGAAGAGGGTTCTGTGTTCACGAAAAGTCGGTGAAACCCAGGGTTCAGCGGCATGAGAGAGGTCCCTTTACTCAACCATACTAATAAATCCCCTGTGTGATTCTCCAAAAGAGGGACAAAAAAATACGTAGTATTGTCTCAACTCCTTGGATGGCAGAACCCCGTTCCTTCCCGACGCGTGTCTGGTGGAGGCACGGGAGTGCTTTCCCGTTAACCGGGCTGGTGCATTTGGCACGAGGAAACACACAGAGGCAGACTGGCCTCCAGTTAAGGAAGGGGACTGCTGTGCAGGGCGAGGGGTGCCCTCCTCCTCTCTCAGGAGGCCTCTGCCTGAGACCCATGCACTGTGGTCTCACCCGCTGCACACCCAGGACCTCAGGGAGCCTGTGGGCTCAGCCTCTTGCACTAAGGGGCGCTGGTCCAGTGGGAGGTCCCGGGCCATCCTGGGCCCTGCTTGATTGCTGAGGGAAGCTGAGGGCGGGGTGGGGTGGGGGTGTGTTATCAGTTTGCTCACTGTAACTAGTAAGCCCTGGAGCGGGGACTTGAACCCATGCACCGGCTCAGGAACCCACCCTCTGGGAACTGCCCTCTCTCGGGCTGGGCCTGTCCTTAAGTTTCTGCGAGCTGCCTGCCTGCCGTGAGCAAGCCCTCCTCCACCTGGTGGAGGCTGGCAGTCTCTGCTCTGCACCCCGTGTCTCCTCACCACCTACTTCTTGGCCGTGTGGCCCCTGCTCTGAGTCATCTGTGTCTGCTCAGTCCTGCCTGAAGTGGGTGGGCCGGGCAGGTTCCCAGGAGCACCCAGCAGGCCCCAGCCCTGAGCCCCCAGGGGCTCTCTCCCAGTCCAGCCGGCTTGGGGTGGGGTGGGGTGGGTGGGACGCTGCAGGCCCAGGCAGAGCTGAGCTCTAGGCCCCCCCTCAGCCCCTCTCCCACTCAGCTCCTGGCTCCCACCTACACCTGGCTGGGGAGATCTGGAAGAGCCTAGGGAAGAGGGAGGAGCCCTTCATTCCCCCGCGATTAGGACCCGGGGTGGCCCATGTGTTCAGCCCACCTCCCCACACGGCACCAGAGAAGTCTCCCC